CAGAGAGCCTGGAGGGCAGAGAGCTCCAGAGAGCCTGGAGGGCAGAGAGCCTGGAGGGCTGAGAGCTCCAGAGAGCCTGGAGGGCTGAGAGCTCCAGAGAGCCTGGAGGGCAGAGAGCTCCAGAGAGCCTGGAGGGCAGAGAGCCTGGAGGGCTGAGAGCTCCAGAGAGCCTGGAGAGCTGACAGCTCCAGAGAGCCTAGGGGCTGAGAGCTCCAGAGAGCCTGGAGGGCAGAGAGCTCCAGAGAGCCTGGAGGGCTGACAGCTCCAGAGAGCCTAGGGGCTGAGAGCTCCAGAGAGCCTGGAGGGCAAAGAGCTCCAGAGAGCCTGGAGGTTGAGAGCTCCAGAGAGCCTGGAGGCTGAGAGCTCCAGAGAGTCTGGAGGTTGAGAGCTCCAGAGAGTCTGGAGGTTGAGAGCTCCAGAGAGCCTGGAGGGCTGACAGCTCCAGAGAGCCTGGAGGGCTGACAGCTCCAGAGAGCCTAGGGGCTGAGAGCTCCAGAGAGCCTGGAGGGCAGAGAGCTCCAGAGAGCCTGGAGGGCTGACAGCTCCAGAGAGCCTAGGGGCTGAGAGCTCCAGAGAGCCTGGAGGGCTGAGAGCTCCAGAGAGCCTGGAGGTTGAGAGCTCCAGAGAGCCTAGAGGCTGAGAGCTCCAGAGAGCCTGGAGGCTGAGAGCTCCAGAGAGCCTGGAGGGCTGAGAGCTCCAGAGAGCCTGGAGGCTGAGAGTTCCAGAGAGCCTGGAGGGCTGAGAGCTCCAGAGAGCCTGGAGGGCTGAGAGTTCCAGAGAGCCTGGAGGGCTGAGAGCTATTGAGAGCCTGGAGGGCTGAGAGCTCCAGAGAGCTTGGGAGGCTGAGAGCTCCAGAGAGCCTAGGGGCTGAGAGCTCCAGAGAGCCTGGAGGCTGACAGCTCCAGAGAGCCTGGTGACTGAGAGCTCCAGAGAGCCTGGAGGGCTGACAGCTCCAGAGAGACTGGTGGCTGAGAGCTCCAGAGAGCCTGGTGGCTGAGAGCTCCAGAGAGCCTGGAGGGCTGAGAGCTCCAGAGAGCCTGGAGGGCTGACAGCTCCAGAGAGCCTAGGACTGACAGCTCCAGAGAGCCTAGGACTGAGAGCTCCAGAGAGCCTAGAGCGCATTCTGGCCCTCACTTTACTCTCTCATCATCCTCATAACTCTTCTACTCACTCCCGTGTCTCTCATGCCCTATCTAAGCTACCAGCCTTTCCACATCCCTCTCCCTCATTCTCTCTCCCCTCACACGTATCCTTTCCCCTCACACTCCTTTCTCTCCCTCACTCATCTTACTCTCAGTTCCTCACCTCATTCTCAGCTTCTCTCTCATTTCCGTTTCCCCTCTCTCACCTCTCCCCTTATTTCACTATCCTGCCTCCTCCTCCTCCTCTTTCCCCTCCTTCTCCGTCAAAGCATGTCAAGCAGAGCATGAGGGTGGAATGGGGGGGGGGGAGGGGAAGGGGTGGGGGTGTGGGGAAGGGGAGGGGGGAGAGGGAGGGGGGTGGGGGTGAAGAGGGGTGACCAAAGCAAGGTTTAATACCCGTCCTAAACCTGGGTTATGACACAGAGTTCCTCTCGGCCCAAGTTTGCTGACTGCCAGTGATGCACTCACTCACGCACTCATGCACTCACTCACTCACGCACTCACTCACGCACTCACCGGTTAGTGCGTTCAGATTCGTTGTACTCCTGTACGGGGTCGGATGGCGTTATATGGTCTTTTGAAACTGTACAATAGTCATTATATTTACTGTCATTGTGTTTATGTGAGGGGAGAGTGTGTGCGCGCGCGCTCGTTCCCTGCCTCAGGTGTGGTGTTAGCTTGTGTGTTCCCACCCTCAGGTGTGGTGTTAGCTTGTGTGTTTCCTGCCTCAGGTGTGGTGTTAGCTTGTGTGTTTCCTGCCTCAGGTGTGGTGTTAGCTTGTGTGTTCCCACCCTCAGGTGTGGTGTTAGCCTGTGTGTTCCCTGCCTCAGGTGTGGTGTTAGCTTGTGTGTTCCCAGCCTCAGGTGTGGTGTTAGCCTGTGTGTTCCCTGCCTCAGGTGTGGTGTTAGCTTGTGTGTTCCCTGCCTCAGGTGTGGTGTTAGCCTGTGTGTTGCCTCAGGTGTGGTGTCAGCCTGTGTGTTCCCACCCTCAGGTGTGGTGTCAGCCTGTGTGTTCCCACCCTCAGGTGTGGTGTCAGCCTGTGTGTTCCCTGCCTCAGGTGTGGTGTCAGCCTGTGTGTTCCCTGCCTCAGGTGTGGTGTTAGCTTGTGTGTTCCCACCCTCAGGTGTGGTGTTAGCCTGTGTGTTCCCTGCCTCAGGTGTGGTGTTAGCCTGTGTGTTCCCACCCTCAGGTGTGGTGTTAGCCTGTGTGTTCCCTGCCTCAGGTGTGGTGTTAGCTTGTGTGTTGCCTCAGGTGTGGTGTTAGCTTGTGTTCCCTGCCTCAGGTGTGGTGTTAGCTTGTGTGTTGCCTCAGGTGTGGTGTTAGCTTGTGTGTTCCCTCCCTCAGGTGTGGTGTTAGCCTGTGTGTTCCCTGCCTCAGGTGTGGTGTTAGCCTGTGTGTTCCCACCCTCAGGTGTGGTGTTAGCCTGTGTGTTCCCTGCCTCAGGTGTGGTGTTAGCCTGTGTGTTCCCTGCCTCAGGTGTGGTGTTAGCCTGTGTGTTGCCTCAGATGTGGTGTCAGCCTGTATGTTCCCTGCCTCAGGTGTGGTGTCAGCCTGTGTGTTCCCACCCTCAGGTGTGGCGTCAGCCTGCGTGTTCCCTGCCTCAGGTGTGGTGTTAGCTTGTGTGTTCCCTGCCTCAGGTGTGGTGTTAGCTTGTGTGTTCCCTCCCTCAGGTGTGGTGTTAGCCTGTGTGTTCCCTGCCTCAGGTGTGGTGTTAGCTTGTGTGTTCCCTGCCTCAGGTGTGGTGTTAGCCTGTGTGTTCCCATCCTCAGGTGTGGTGTTAGCCTGTGTGTTCCCTGCCTCAGGTGTGGTATTAGCTTGTGTGTTCCCTGCCTCAGGTGTGGTGTTAGCCTGTGTGTTCCCACCCTCAGGTGTGGTGTTAGCCTGTGTGTTCCCTGCCTCAGGTGTGGTGTTAGCCTGTGTGTTCCCTGCCTCAGGTGTGGTAATAGCTTGTGTGTTCCCTGCCTCAGGTGTGGTGTTAGCCTGTGTGTTCCCACCCTCAGGTGTGGTGTTAGCTTGTGTGTTCCCACCCTCAGGTGTGGTGCCAGCCTGTGTGTTCCCACCCTCAGGTGTGGTGTTAGCTTGTGTTCCCACCCTCAGGTGTGGCGTCAGGCTGTGTGTTCCTTCAGGTGTGCTGTTAGCCTGTGTGTTCCTTCAGGTGTGCTATTAGCCTGTGTGTTCCTTCAGGTGTGGTGTTAGCCTGTGTGTTCCTTCAGGTGTGGTGTTAGCCTGTGTGTCCCTGCCTCAGGTGTGGTGTCAGCCTGTGTGTTCCCACCCTCAGGTGTGGTGTCAGCCTGTGTGTTCCCACCCTCAGGTGTGGTGTCAGCCTGTGTGTTCCCACCCTCAGGTGTGGCGTCAGCCTGTGTGTTCCCACCCTCAGGTGTGGTGTCAGCCTGTGTGTTCCCACCCTCAGGTGTGGTGTTAGCCTGTGTGTTCCCACCCTCAGGTGTGGTGTCAGCCTGTGTGTTCCCACCCTCAGGTGTGGTGTTAGCCTGTGTGTCCCTGCCTCAGGTGTGGTGTCAGCCTGTGTGTTCCCACCCTCAGGTGTGGTGTCAGCCTGTGTGTTCCCACCCTCAGGTGTGGTGTTAGCCTGTGTGTTCCCTCCCTCAGGTGTGGTGTCAGCCTGTGTGTTCCCACCCTCAGGTGTGGTGTCAGCCTGTGTGTTCCCACCCTCAGGTGTGGTGTCAGCCTGTGTGTTCCCACCCTCAGGTGTGGCGTCAGCCTGTGTGTTCCCAGCCTCAGGTGTGGTGTCAGCCTGTGTGTTCCCACCCTCAGGTGTGGTGTCAGCCTGTGTGTTCCCAGCCTCAGGTGTGGCGTCAGCCTGTGTGTTCCCAGCCTCAGGTGTGGTGTCAGCCTGTGTGTTCCCACCCTCAGGTGTGGTGTCAGCCTGTGTGTCCCTGCCTCAGGTGTGGTGTCAGCCTGTGTGTTCCCACCCTCAGGTGTGGCGTCAGCCTGTGTGTTCCCACCCTCAGGTGTGGTGTTAGCCTGTGTGTTCCCACCCTCAGGTGTGGTGTCAGCCTGTGTGTTCCCACCCTCAGGTGTGGCGTCAGCCTGTGTGTTCCCAGCCTCAGGTGTGGTGTCAGCCTGTGTGTTCCCACCCTCAGGTGTGGTGTTAGCCTGTGTGTTCCCTCCCTCAGGTGTGGTGTCAGCCTGTGTGTTCCCAGCCTCAGGTGTGGTGTCAGCCTGTGTGTTCCCAGCCTCAGGTGTGGTGTCAGCCTGTGTGTTCCCACCCTCAGGTGTGGTGTCAGCCTGTGTGTTCCCACCCTCAGGTGTGGTAATGTTGGCAATTGTTGTCTTGACAACTGTTAACAAGACAATACAACTCCCCAAAATTAGCGTCGGGTGCTGCACTCTGTAATTTGGGAGGTGTAGACCCGCCAAACACCGAAACAACGACGTTGGTACAACGTTCGAACAAGCTTTAACAACTCCTAACCAGTTATAACAACCAATATAACAAGTTGTAACAACGTTCTAATACGTCATAAACACGTTAAGCCAAGATGTAACAACTTTATTACAAGTTGTAACAAGTGAAAAATAGAGACAGTTACGGTTTGTGTTTCCAGGGTAGTGTGTTACTTCTGAAGATGTAAGCTGTGTGCCGCTGACGGCTGTTGTTAGTGTTACTTTAAGAGAGATGTAATGTATGTGTGTGAGTAACTAAATGTGGGTAGTGATCCCCGTAGACTTTACGCGACCTTACCTTACCCTCACCATGCTACATAGACACTTCGTTCTGAGTAGCTAAAAACCTAGGTTAGGTTAGGTTAGGTTAGGTTAGCTAACTCACCATAGCCCGTGCTACATAGACACTTCGTTCTGAGTAGCTAAAAACAACAACACCTCTCTCTCCGCCAGAGCGAGAAGAACGAGGTGAAGCAGAAGTGGGCGTCGCGCCTCCTGGGCAAGCTACGTAAGGACATCACCCAGGAGTGTAGGGAGGACTTCGTGCTCTCCATCACCGGGAAGAAGCCGGCCATGTGTGTCCTCTCAAACCCGGACCAGAAGGGCAAGATGAGACGCATAGACTGCCTCAGACAGGCAGATAAGGTGAGTCCATATCTGTGTTGTGAGTACATCCATATCTGTACTGTGAGTACATCCATATCTACTCATAGTAGATGGTCCTGGTGGTCCCTGTGGTGTACTGAGGGTAGATATGGTGGTCACGGTGTACTGAGGGTAGATATGGTGTCCCTGTGGGGTACTGAGGGTAGATATGGTGTCCCTGTGGTGTACTGAGGGTAGATATGGTGGTCCCTGTGGTGTACTGAGGGTAGATATGGTGGTCCCTGTGGTGTACTGAGGGTAGATATGGTGGTCACGGTGTACTGAGGGTAGATATGGTGGTCCCTGTGGTGTACTGAGGGTAGATATGGTGGTCCCTGTGGTGTACTGAGGGTAGATATGGTGGTCCCTGTGGTGTACTGAGGGTAGATATGGTGGTCCCTGTGGTGTACTGAGGGTAGATATGGTGGTCCTTGTGGTGTACTGAGGGTAGATATGGTGGTCCCTGTGGTGTACTGAGGGTAGATATGGTGGTCCCTGTGGTGTACTGAGGGTAGATATGGTGGTCCCTGTGGTGTACTGAGGGTAGATATGGTGGTCCTTGTGTACTGAGGGTAGATATGGTGGTCACGGTGTACTGAGGGTAGATATGGTGGTCCCTGTGGTGTACTGATGGTAGATATGGTGTCCCTGTGGTGTACTGAGGGTAGATATGGTGGTCCCTGTGGTGTACTGAGGGTAGATATGGTGGTCCCTGTGGTGTACTGAGGGTAGATATGGTGGTCCTTGTGTACTGAGGGTAGATATGGTGGTCCCTGTGGTGTACTGAGGGTAGATATGGTGGTCCCTGTGGTGTACTGAGGGTAGATATGGTGTCCCTGTGGTGTACTGAGGGTAGATATGGTGGTCCCTGTGGTGTACTGAGGGTAGATATGGTGGTCCCCCGGTGTACTGAGGGTAGATATGGTGGTCCTCGTGGTGTACTGAGGGTAGATATGGTGGTCCCCGTGGTGTACTGAGGGTAGATATGGTGGTCCCTGTGGTGTACTGAGGGTAGATATGGTGGTCCCTGTGGTGTACTGAGGGTAGATATGGTGGTCCCTGTGGTGTACTGAGGGTAGATATGGTGGTCCCTGTGGTGTACTGAGGGTAGATATGGTGGTCCCCACGGTGTACTGAGGGTAGATATGGTGGTCCCTGTGGTGTACTGAGGGTAGATATGGTGGTCCCTGTGGTGTACTGAGGGTAGATATGGTGGTCCCTGTGGTGTACTGAGGGTAGATATGGTGGTCCCTGTGGTGTACTGAGGGTAGATATGGTGGTCCCTGTGGTGTACTGAGGGTAGATATGGTGGTCCCTGTGGTGTACTGAGGGTAGATATGGTGGTCCCTGTGGTGTACTGAGGGTAGATATGGTGTCCCTGTGGTGTACTGAGGGTAGATATGGTGGTCCCTGTGGTGTACTGAGGGTAGATATGGTGGTCCCAGTGGTGTACTGAGGGTAGATATGGTGGTCCCTGTGGTGTACTGAGGGTAGATATGGTGGTCCCTGTGGTGTACTGAGGGTAGATATGGTGGTCCTTGTGGTGTACTGAGGGTAGATATGGTGGTCCCTGTGGTGTACTGAGGGTAGATATGGTGGTCCTTGTGGTGTACTGAGGGTAGATATGGTGGTCCCTGTGGTGTACTGAGGGTAGATATGGTGGTCCCTGTGGTGTACTGAGGGTAGATATGGTGGTCCTTGTGGTGTACTGAGGGTAGATATGGTGGTCCCTGTGGTGTACTGAGGGTAGATATGGTGGTCCTTGTGGTGTACTGAGGGTAGATATGGTGGTCCCTGTGGTGTACTGAGGGTAGATATGGTGGTCCCTGTGGTGTACTGAGGGTAGATATGGTGGTCCTTGTGGTGTACTGAGGGTAGATATGGTGGTCCCTGTGGTGTACTGAGGGTAGATATGGTGGTCCCCGTGGTGTACTGAGGGTAGATATGGTGGTCCCCCGGTGTACTGAGGGTAGATATGGTGGTCCCCGTGGTGTACTGAGGGTAGATATGGTGGTCCCACACAGTGTGGGGGAGAGTGGGCGGACACCCAAAGTGTCTGTGTGTACGTGCGCGTGCGTGTGTGTGTGCGCGTGTGTGCCTGTGTGGGGGTGGAGGGGGGATGGGGAGTCTGCCATGTTGTCGCGCCATTGACATCGGCTCATTAATGGGAAAAATGGGACCCATAAAATAGGAGATTTCCCTTCATGGTGCACCCATACCTCCGCCAGGCGGTGTATACTTTATTGTTCCCTCACTCTCATACTGTGTGTCTCATACTGTGTCTCACTGTTGTACCGTGCACCTTGAGAGCAGGTGGACTGACACTCTACACGTGTGTGTATCCCTACAGGTGTGGCGGCTGGACTTGGTGATGGTGATACTGTTCAAGTCCATCCCGCTGGAGTCGACAGATGGAGAGAGGTTAGAGAAGTCCCCAGACTGTCTCCACCCAGCTCTCTGTGTCAACCCCTACCATATTAATGTTTCCGTCCGTGAACTTGATCTCTACCTCTCCAACTTTATTACCATGAATGGTAAGTGCTTTCTCTCAGTTTACCTGTATCACACACGCCGCTGGTGCCTCAAGGTGCTTGTGTGTCTCCGCTAGTGTACTCAACCTCTGCTTCACGGTAAGGAAACATCTACATTAATTTTTTTAATCATTGTGTTACTGTGTAAATTTGGGACGTCTCTGGTGAGTATTTTTGTTGAACTTAGAGACGGTCACATTAATTTATTTTGTATCGTGTCTGTGAATGCCGTGTATGTTCTCTGTATTTCCTGTATTTCAGTAATGTCTCCTTGCTTCTATTGTGTCACCTCTGTTGGATTTCAGAGTTCTCTTTCAAATTCAGAGTTCTCTTTCAAATTCAGAGTTCTCTTTCAAATTCAGAGTTCTCTTTCAAATTCAGAGTTCTCTTTCAAATTCAGAGTTCTCTTTCAAATTCAGAGTTCTCTTTCAAATTCAGAGTTCTCTTTCAAATTCAGAGTTCTCTTTCAAATTCAGAGTTCTCCTTCAAATTCAGAGTTCTCCTTCAAATTCAGAGTTCTCTTTCAAATTCAGAGTTCTCTTTCAAATTCAGAGTTCTCTTTCAAATTCAGAGTTCTCTTTCAAATTCAGAGTTCTCTTTCAAATTCAGAGTTCTCTTTCAAATTCAGAGTTCTCTTTCAAATTCAGAGTTCTCTTTCAAATTCAGAGTTCTCTTTCAAATTCAGAGTTCTCTTTCAAATTCAGAGTTCTCTTTCAAATTCAGAGTTCTCTTTCAAATTCAGAGTTCTCTTTCAAATTCAGAGTTCTCTTTCAAATTCAGAGTTCTCTTTCAAATTCAGAGTTCTCTTTCAAATTCAGAGTTCTCTTTCAAACTGTGTTGGGGTTTTGGCAATGATTCATAACATTTTGGTTGTAATAGTTGTGTTGTGAAGCATGATGTATGATGCAAGGTTTGTGTGGTATTGGGGGGAGTGTTGTAGGCGTGTGGTTGTTAACCACTTGGGGTCCAATCTGGTGCATTTCACCATTCCAATCCGTAGTCTTGCAATGTTTCTGTCTGTTCCCATCTAATATGTTCTCTTATTCTGTCCTACTGTTTCTGTTATGAAAACAAATTAGAAATATAATGTTGGTCTTTACACACAGAAATCAGACTGACATGATGCATCAAATGAACAAATCCACAAGGGCCGTGACGGGGATTCGAACCTGCGTCCGGGAGCATCCCAGACACTGCCTGTATCGACTGACCTTGTGTATCCCGTGTATCGACTGAGCCTGAGCTTGGGAGCCGGTCGGCCGAGCGGACAGCACACTGGACTTGTGATCCTGTGGTCCCGGGTTCGATCCCAGGCGCCGGCGAGAAACAATGGGCAGAGTTTCTTTCACCCTATGCCCCTGTTACCTAGCAGTAAAATAGGTACCTGGGTGTTAGTCAGCTGTCACGGGCTGCTTCCTAGGGGTGGAGGCCTGGTCGAGGACCGGGCCCCGGGGACACTAAAGCCCCGAAATCATCTCAAGATAACCCCCTGGTCATGTGGATGGTCATGAGTCTAATAAGCCAGTGTCTGGGATGCTCCCGGACGCAGGTTCGAATCCCCGTCACGGCCCTTGTGGATTTGTTCACAATATTGGTCTTCCTCGCATCTATAATGCTCAGTTCCCCCTCACGTGGAAAATCTGGACATTCGGGATAATTATCCTCGCATCTCCAATCTTTAAATGAGATTTGACAGGGGAAACTTTGCCCTCTATACCATAATGGCATGTTCTCCGCCTTGGCGTATTCCAGCATTTTCTGTTATGCGCGAAACTGCATTGTTTGCCTTTGGTTCCATACATGTGCATTCCTTTTGCGTTATATTTTCTCTTCTTGCTAGTGTGTTGTTGACTGTGGAACTTCCTCCGGGGCACCGCACGTATGGTTATGAAGGCTGGAGTTGGGTGGATGACACACAGGGAAGGGAGTGGGTGAGTGGATGAAACAAAGGGGAAGGGAGTGGGTGAGTGGATGAAACAAAGGGGAAGGGAGTGGGTGAGTGGATGAAACAAAGGGGAAGGGAGTGGGTGAGTGGATGAAACAAAGGGGAAGGGAGTGGGTGAGTGGATGAAACAAAGGGGAAGGGAGTGGGTGAGTGGATGAAACAAAGGGGAAGGAGTGCGTGAGTGCATGAAACAAAGGGGAAGGGAGTGGGTGAGTGGATGAAACAAAGGGGAAGGGAGTGGGTGAGTGGATGAAACAAAGGGGAAGGGAGTGGGTGAGTGGATGAAACAAAGGGGAAGGGAGTGGGTGAGTGGATGAAACAAAGGGGAGGGAGTGGATGAAACAAAGGGGAAGGAGTGGGTGAGTGGATGAAACAAAGGGGAAGGGAGTGGGTGAGTGGATGAAACAAAGGGGAGGGAGTGGGTGAGTGGATGAAACAAAGGGGAAGGGAGTGGGTGAGTGGATGAAACAAAGGGGAAGGAGTGGGTGAGTGCATGAAACAAAGTTGAAGGGAGTGGGTGAGTGGATGAAACAAAGGGGAAGGAGTGCGTGAGTGCATGAAACAAAGGGGAAGGGAGTGGGTGAGTGGATGAAACAAAGGGGAGGGAGTGGGTGAGTGGATGAAACACAGGGGAGGGAGTGGGTGAGTGGATGAAACACAGGGTAGGGAAGGGGGTTGAGAGGGTGGAAGCAGCAGTGGTGACTGAGGTTGGGCGGTAGAGGACAGTTCAGTGCCACGGGGGGACCAGTCACCACGACTGATGCTTCATGGGAATGGTCTTGATCTTATATATATATTTTATGTCTCAGTGGAATGTCATCAGCAGTCTTCCTAACCCAAGGGGGGGGGGTAGGACAGTCTGGGGGCCACGGGGGCCTGCCTCACCACCTTCCTCCCCCAGGGGGGGGTAGGACAGTCTGGGGGCCACGGGGGCCTGCCTCCCCCAGGGGGGTAAGACAGTCGGGGGCCACGGGGGCCTGCTTCTCCCAGGGGGGTAGGACAGTCTGGGGGCCACGGGGGCCTGCTTCTCCCAGGGGGGTAGGACAGTCTGGGGGCCACGGGGGCCTGCTTCTCCCAGGGGGGTAGGACAGTCTGGGGGCCACGGGGGCCTGCTTCTCCCAGGGGGGTAAGACAGTCTGGGGGCCACGGGGGCCTGCCTCCCCCAGGGGGGTAAGACAGTCTGGGGGCCACGGGGGCCTGCCTCCCCCAGGGGGGTAGGACAGTCTGGGGGCCACGGGGGCCTGCCTCCCCCAGGGGGGTAGGACAGTCTGGGGGCCACGGGGGCCTGCCTCCCCCAGGGGGGTAAGACAGTCTGGGGGCCACGGGGGCCTGCCTCCCCCAGGGGGGTAAGACAGTCTGGGGGCCACGGGGGCCTGCTTCTCCCAGGGGGGTAGGACAGTTTGGGGGCCACGGGGGCCTGCCTCCCCCAGGGGGGTAAGACAGTCTGGGGGCCGCGGGGGCCTGCCTCCCCCAGGGGGGTAAGACAGTCTGGGGGCCACGGGGGCCTGCCTCCCCCAGGGGGGGTAGGACAGTCTGGGGGCCACGGGGGCCTGCCTCCCCCAGGGGGGTAAGACAGTCTGGGGGCCACGGGGGCCTGCCTCCCCCAGGGGGGGTAGGACAGTTTGGGGGCCACGGGGGCCTGCCTCCCCCAGGGGGGTAAGTCAGTCTGGGGGCCACGGGGGCCTGCCTCCCCCAGGGGGGTAAGACAGTCTGGGGGCCACGGGGGCCTGCCTCCCCAAGGTGGGTAAGACAGTCTGGGGGCCACGGGGGCCTGCCTCCCCCAGGGGGGGTAGGACAGTCTGGGGGCCACGGGGGCCTGCCTCCCCCAGGGGGGTAAGACAGTCTGGGGGCCACGGGGGCCTGCCTCCCCCAGGGGGGGGGGTAGGACAGTCTGGGGCCACGGGGGCCTGCCTCCCCCAGGGGGGTAGGACAGTCTGGGGGCCACGGGGGCCTGCCTCCCCCAGGGGGGGTAAGACAGTCTGGGGGCCACGGGGGCCTGCCTCCCCCAGGGGGGGTAGGACAGTCTGGGGGCCACGGGGGCCTGCCTCCCCCAGGGGGGTAGGACAATCTGGGGGCCTGCCTCCCCCAGGGAGGTAGGACAGTCTGGGGGCCAGCCTCCCCCAGGGGGGTAGGACAGTCTTGGGGCCACGGGGGCCTGCCTCACCACCTTCCTCCCCCAGGGGGATAGGACAGTCTGGGGGCCACGGGGGCCTGCCTCACCACCTTCCTCCCCCAGGGAAGGGTAGGACAGTCTGGGGGCCACGGTAGCCTGCCTCACCACCTTCCTCCCCCAGGGGGGGTAGGACAGTCTGGGGGCCACGGGGGCCTGCCTCACCACCTTCCTCCCCCAGGGGGGGGTAGGACAGTCTGGGGGCCACGGGGGCCTGCCTCCCCACCTTCCTCCCCCAGGGGGGGGGTAGGACAGTCTGGGGGCCACTGGGGCCTGCCTCACCATCTTCCTCCGCCAGGGGGGGTAGGACAGTCTGGGGGCCACGGGGGCCTGCGTCACCATCTTCCTCCCCCAGGGGGGGGGTAGGACAGTCTGGGGGCCACGGGGGCCTGCCTCACCACCTTCCTCCCCCAGGGGGGGGGGTAGGACAGTCTGGGGGCCACGGGGGCCTGCCTCCCCCAGGTGGGGTAGGACAGTCTGGGGGCCACGGTGGCCTGCCTCACTATCTTCCTCCCCCAGGGGGGGGGGTAGGACAGTCTGGGGGCCACGGGGGCCTGCCTCACCACCTTCCTCCCCCAGGGGGGGTGGAGGACAGTCTGGGGGCCACGGGGGCCTGCCTCACCACCTTCCTCCCCCAGGGGGGGAAGGACAGTCTGGGGGCCACGGGGGCCTGCCTCCCCAGGTGGGGTAGGACAGTCTGGGGGCCACGGTGGCCTGCCTCACCATCTTCCTCCCCCAGGGGGGGGGGGGTAGGACAGTCTGGGGCCCACGGTGGCCTGCCTCACCATCTTCCTCCCCCAGGGGGGGTAGGACAGTCTTGGGGCCTGCCTCACCACCTTCCTCCCCCAGGGGGGGGGTAGGACAGTCTGGGGGCCACGGGGGCCTGCCTCACCACCTTCCTCCCCCAGGGGGGGGTAGGACAGTCTGGGGGCCACGGGGGCCTGTCTCACCACCTTCCTCCCCCAGGGGGGGTAGGACAGTCTGGGGGCCACGGGGGCCTGTCTCCCCACCTTCCTCCCCCGGGGGGGG